AAATTATTTTAAAAAATCATTAAAAAATATATAATATATAAAAAATTTCAAAAACTTTGGGAGGGCCATGATAAAGGGACGCTTCACCCCTGGTTAAGAGAGGAGAATAAAGCACGTGATCGTTAAGCCTTACGAAAAACAAATCAAAACGATGAAAGAAACAAGTGCATAAGCCAATAGAAGAAACTAAAATGACATTGAATACTATTGTATAACTAAGACACGGACCTAAAGGATAATAAACAACATACGAAGCTTGCGTTTTACTAACTCGAATTAGTAAAGTTTAAACAACTATGTTTTGCTTCCTAGAATAGCTGCCTTTTTGCTTCATATGACTATTACTTCTTGCCAAGCCAATTTGTACCATTGTTTTAGCTGTTTCATTCGATGAAGATAATATTTCCAGCACACCCCCATGATCTTTTGTCTAGTAGACACCTAAGTGTTATCGGATTTATTATGCAAGTGCACATATCGTTAACAAGTAATATAATGGTAAATAGAGTGTCGAATCCCGCAAAAGATTTTACCAACTTTTGCTAAGTATTAAAATTATCTCAACCTAATCTTATTCACACAACCGAAATAAAGTAATTAGCTAAAAGCAAAACTAAAACTAAACATGTCACGACCTGCGCGCGACCTCAATAGGCAAGCCGACTAGACTGAGCAAGCCTCAGAATCCAAAATCATCCAACACAAATGCCAAGGGATTTAATAAGTAAATAGTCATAATAAAATTCAGACATATTACATTGTCCTTGGTTCACAATCCATACTAGTATTCAAAGGCCATATATTGGCTATCAAATCAGGTTTGTACATAACAACCCTTATACAATTCAAATGGCAAATCGTGACTGACATATTTTACAAACTAACCAAACTGGAAGATGGAAAGCCCATACAGACTCAGTGGAGTGACACGTTGAGAGGTAGACCTACCGGATGCCAATTATGTATCCATCAAATCGACAACACTTGCCATGTAACCCAATAGCTTCTCTTACCTACACATGGTACAACAGAAGGGTGACTCTTCTAATACTCAATAAGGGGATATTATTATAGCCTAGTATTTTACGTAAAATATGTTTAGGCTTATTTAGCCATAAGACTTTCATATTCAAACAACTCTAATTTGAAGGTGCAAGGATCATCCTAATATCCTACATGCTGTCGGTTAAAATTCAAGTATACAAGTAGATGTATCGAATAGATAGTATATAAGCAAGCAGAGTATTGATCCCACAGAAAATTGATCTAAAATTTTACTAAGTATTAAAATTAGAACAAGTTAATCTTATCTAAACAATCAAAATTAATTGATTAACTAAAACTAATTAACCAAATTTAAAGTAAAAAGAAAAATCAAAGTAATAATAACTTGAGTAAAAATCAAATCGAACAAGACTAAGATACAATATCTCTCACACTTCATCTAAATCTTAACTTTCTTCCTTAATTTATTTTAATGGGTTGAATTGTTAACCTAGAGTCTTTAATTATTTATAATGGTCTCCCAACTCATCTTATAAAAATATCTATTTTAACCA